AAACAGATAAAATGTTTTTATAATTAATCTATGGATTTGTGTAATCAATTTAATTAATAATATTGTTTATCTAATATGAACTTGTTGAGCTAATAAATCTGGGTTCAAAGATAGTTCAAATATCACCTACTTTGTGCACGCCGCCTTAGTAAATTTACAAAAAAATAGCCTATTAAGTAATTGCAAAGCATTATTAATTAAATAGTGTGCTAAATATTAATGATAATAATAATCAAGATGTTTAATACATAATAACTAACTAAAATAAAATATTGTTAGTCAATAAATACGATATAAATGACCTCGTATTGATTCTAAAATAAATTTTCAAAAACATATGTACTGTACAGTACATAATTTTCAGTATTTTAAAACAAACTACAAACAGATAAAATGTTTTTATAATTAATCTATGGATTTGTGTAATCAATTTAATTAATAATATTGTTTATCTAATATGAACTTGTTGAGCTAATAAATCCGGGTTCAAAGTTAGTTCAAATATCATCATGAAGCAGCTATTAATTTTGCATTTATTTTATAATAATTAATATCTAATAGCAAATGTTAAATAACTTTTATAATTTCAAAATTGTAATTTATTTATTTATTATTATTATTTTACTCTCTACAAAATATTATCTTAAATCAATAAAAATATAGTTATTTGTCAATATATACTGTATTTTAATATTAACAATAACAAATGAATTAAATATTATTTAAAATAATATATTATTAAATTCTTATTATGTTATCAAAATAATAAGTGCATGTCACAACAATATTAATGTCTGATAAAACTATTGCTAAGCAATAATCATAGCTTTTTTTGCCAACTTAAAAGTGAAAACTATTATAATAATAAAAATATTTGATTCATAAGTAATAATCATGTCGCAAAACAGTAAATACGGTACAAATTTTACTGTAAACACTATTATACTCTTTTTACTGTGTTTTCAGACGATTTAGAAATTACTTCAATTAAAGAGTCAATGTTTGAAATAATTAACAAAACAATTAATTCACAAGAGTTTTCATTTAATAAAGTCAAACATAAAACATCTGAACAATTATATTCCGTATTCAAAATACAAATACCAGGTATCAATATATTATTTTTACAGATTAAATTTAACGATTCCCTAAGACAATTTAAGCTAGTATATTTTAGAAATTGAATACATTTAGTTAAGGGCAAAATATAATTATATATCGATAATTGTATATATTAGTAAAACTGAAAATTATAAATAGGAACTATAGTAGTAATTCAATGATATTTAAGTAAAATAAACAATTTGTTAAGTATAATATACAATGTATTTCATAGATTCTACCCCAAAAGGCCTACTTTGACATAAAATCTAAATATCTTTAGATTCACTGCATTATTGTGGACCAAAGTTTAAATATAACCTAGCACAATGGTATTACATAAATTACGCCAATATATTTGACGTTATTTATGCAAATTAAGCATTTATTGCATAATTGTTGGTGAAATTTTTAAAAATGTAAATAAACGTAGTTTGGTAAGTAATAAGTTACGTAAAATTAGTCTAACGTAATTAATGACTAAAATAATAAGCTCCAAACTTATTTGATCAGTTTTAATTAATAAGTAATTTCGAATTTTGTGAATGTAGGCGTTTTGGGGAGTCCGATTTCATATTATGAAGATTAATATCTCAGATATATAACATACGTTTGTTTTAATTTAGATGATGATACGGAAATTTATAATTTATTTAATATTATTGGAAAATTATTTGACTTAAACAACCATTATATGATTGAATGTTACAATTCATGGATTGAAAATAACTGTGTATTCATTCAAACGGAAATTTGTTCATTAAGTCTATGGAGTTTAATAGATAAGAAAAATAAAATCTTTTATAACCAGCACACATTAGCTATGATTTGCATAGATTTCTACATATCGTATGAATTACTCCGAGAACTGTTACAATGTGTGCAGTATTTACACCAAACCATTGACATTGATTGGACCCTAAGTCCAGAAAATATCATGATTTCAAATAATATTATTAACGGAAAGTGCATTAAAATTGACATAGTAAATCATTTGAACAATAAACAAGGTGGATTTTATTAAAGCACTCAAGTAATAATTAATGATCTATTTGAACAATTTCTTAGAAGGTAAATATCATGCTTATTTTAATGATTTCAGATAAAATAATACATATTTTAAAATTCATTTAGAGATCATATTCCTAAATGCCTGCAAATAAATATCAATAAAATTAAAGTGTTTTTCAATGAAATGAAAAGTAACAAGAAATGGGAGGAAAGGGTGGCAACGGATGAATTGATGAATGCATTTAAACACATTTTCGCGCATAATATCCAAATCAATGAAGAAATGATTTCTACATTTCAATCACACATTCATACAATGGATTCAAACAATCGTTGGAATCATTTCTTTTATGAATACTTATTAACGAAAACTAAAGCAAAAATAAATAAAATAACTTACAATTGAATATATTTATGAGGGTTCATAACATGTAAAGGTGTGTTTAAAACAATACTTACCAACTAATAAAATCTTTTGTAATAAAAGTAATTTTAGAAATTATTAAACATTTTATTATTCAATTAATGAAAATCTAAATATCTGACATTATAAAGTCAAGTATCAGCTAATCTGATATAATTATAGACAAATTTAAAAATATTAAGCTAAATATTTTGATCAACATACAATCAATGTATATACTTGAATTAAGCCAAAGTAACATTTAAATGGTGCAATTTAATTGAACTCCACAATTTAAATACATAGTGGAGCCTAACATGGGTATACAAGGTTAGACGGCACCCACCCTCTGTCGAAATGAGTCTTCAATGACCACAATTCACCGGATCCGGGGGTCCACGACCAAAATGTCCAACCTAATGTAGCCTGGTCGTACACGTTGAACAAGGCGTAAGCGAAATCACCATTGCGATCCGGGTTATTAAAATGATTGCACGCTGACCATTCACCAATCAACATTTTCTTGTGCGGATTTTTAGCATGGTAATCTGCAATCTGATTCTTTCTATCGTGGTTAATATAGCCAATAGCGCCATCGGCGTGATCCTGATCGGGTTCACCGCCAAAACACGAGTAGTAATGCAAGTCCATGGCTATCCTGGTGAAACCCTGATCGGGGTTCATGAAGTTCACCCAATGGTCTTCCCCTCCCGACTCGCCATTGAGCAGTGGGCTGATCACTATTACCGTGTCAGCCAAGTGTTTACGTACGGCAGCATAAGTTCGCTTATAGTAATCCTGCAACTTTCCGATGTCCATACCGAGGGGCTCATTGAGAAAACAAAAACCAAATAGAGCTGGATGATTACCGTACCGTTGAGCATACAGTTCCATTGAGTCCACTGTTTGCCCTATGTTTGCGTCATATTTGTCCCAATTTTTCTAAAATAATTTTTAAACAATTTTCAATTTTGATTAATTTAACTATTTAACTGATTAATTTTGATTGACTATAATTTATTAAAAATAAATTATTATTTAAAAATTAT